GCTAATATATTTATTCATAAAAACTACATGATTTTTATTTTATATATATATATATATATATATATATATATATATATATATATATATATATATATATATATATATATATATATATATATATATATATGAGTGTGTGTGTATACTTATAATATATATAGACAACCACACAAACACAAAAAGTAGCAATTCATCCACATTAAAGTACCTTTGATATAGTCTCTAACCAATTGGAAAGATATGCAGTCTCCCCTTTGTTTAGACTAAATAAGTTTCTTCTGCAGTTGGAACAAACTACAGAAGGACAAATTTCAAGATCAGAATCGAAGTTTGGTCAGATTTATTCTTGAATTTTTTCGCGCACTGAAGGTGTTATAGGTGTTAAAGATTTTGATCTGATACCTTTATTTATCAAGCAAACTGCACAAGTACATAATTTGAAGTCTGACGCCATGTTGAACAGTGAAAGTTATATCCGTAATTCAATTATATCATTGCCATAAATAGCTTATTTGACTACCATAATGGCTGACTTTAATTAAACTTACGAAAAAAAAAAGAAAAAAATTATAAGTATTAACTTTAAAAATATACATACTTAGCACTTAGTTCAGATTTTTCTGACAACTTAAATTGTGTTTGCTAATGCATATGATTAATTAAAGGGAAAAAAATTTAAAGTGGGGAGAGTTTCAACCTGGCGGTCAATTTGGAGAACAGTGAATATCAAACATTGCATCAATCGATTGGGATATTCTAATTCTACACAAGAATGTGGATCAAATGTTTAATATATTAATTTCTTATTATTATACTGCCTGCCAATTTTTCTTATCCCCAAGAATAAAAAAAAAAAAAAAGTATGATCCTTGGGTTACTCTACATATTAAAAGCTTAATCCGAGCAAATAAATTGGCTTGGCACATCAACTGCTCAGATAAATGGAAGAAAAAAGATCTCAAAACAAATTACAATTGTCTTATTCGTTCCGTTAAAGCGGAAATATTTAAAGCAAAAATATTATACAAAAAGGAAATAATACCATAATCTCAGAACAACCCAAAATTCGTCTACAAATACATTCGATAAAATTATACATAAAGATAAAATTCGTTCTCTCAAAAATGCTTCAGGCGAAATTACTGAAACTCTTCCCGATATACTTGAACTTCTGAACTCTCAATTAAAATCTATTTTTACTCTTGAAAGCTCCGAAAATTTTCCATTTTTAAATAAAAGTGAAGTTAAACCTAAATGCAATTATAATAACAACTTGGATTTCTATTGCAGACATTATTAATGATCTTACCAACCTAAACCCTTATAAATCTTTTAGACCTGACTGGTTGCACCCTTTAAAACTTAAAATATGTGCCAAAACCTTCGCAATTTCGCTGACAAAAATCTTCTATGAATCTTTTAATTCTGGAGTAGCACCAACTCTCTGGAAACATAGTTTCCAGATATATAGAAATATACCCTGGTCTGGAAGCTATTGTTTTATTTTTTTTCGGTCACGTGATCAATGTAGATCAGCCGTCGAAGTGAATCTTAAAAGATATATCAAAGAAACTTCAATTATAATTTATTTAAACAGTCCTTTTTAGAACTACATGTTACTAAAATATTTTAAGCAATTCCAGTTAGTGAATGTTAAAAGACATTTCAAGGAATTTTCACTTAAATTTTAATTAAACAGTCCTTTTTAGAACTACATTAGAACTAAAGTAATCGTACTTGTAAAAAAAAGCAATCACTGCTTAGTAATGCCAGGTAGAAATTGCTGTCTTCCACAGTGCACAGTCTCAGATACAAATAAACCCAAGGATATTGGACTATTTCAAATATCTACAAGAAAAGATGAATATCATACCATTTGGAGGAAAAAGTTAATTGATTTTCTTGCTATTTACCGTCCATTAGAATCTAATGGACGGTAAATCTAATGATTAGATGGATTATTAAAAGAAAGAATAACCAAAGGAAATGTTTATTTTTGTGAGAAACACTTTTCTCCAGAAGATATAGAATTTACAAGTGAGTACATCATTTTCATGGCAAGTCATATTTTATATTATTTTACATGATTAATATATAATGGTATTGCATTGTAATTATAATGATCATTATAGTTAAAATGTCTATCATTTTAGAAATGGAGTGCAAAGTCCTATGGCCTACCTTCTCGTTGGTGCACTTCGTTAAATAATTTAGACAAGTCTTATGTCTAATTTATAAACCAAATAGCCAAGGCAACTTTTGTATTAGTTTTGGTATTAAATAGATCCATGAAACAATGTGCAACTATATATATATATATATATATTTATATATATATACATATATATATATATATATATATATATATATATATATTATATATATATATATATATATATATATATACATATATATATATATATATATATATATATATATATATATATATATATATATATATATATATATATATATATATATATATATATATATATATATAATTATTTTTAACTCAATGGTCAAAATGACAATTAGTCATTTACATCATTGAGTTTAAATCACTTGTGTAAAAAAACTTATCTGTACTGTTGTCTCTTTTTAGAGACTGGAAGAAAAACATTAAGACTTGGTGTTGTGCCTACCTTAAATTTACCTGTTAAATCGCATCCAACTACTAAACAAACTGAAAGAAGACACTTAAATATAGTTAAAGATAGAACAACAATAAATAAAAATGCCTACAAGCCTGTATACAATACTTTTGAAGAGTTTAAAATGCGTATTCAAAAGTTAAAGTTGAATGAGTGGGAAATTAGTATTTTTGATGAAACAGTTTTGTTTAAGCACATGGAAAATCCGTTTTTATTATCAAAGTTTGAAGTGTTTGTTGACACAAGTTTAGACTATTCATGCATTGTTTTTGGTTGGTCTTTACCAGTCTGCACTGAACTATATAAATTACATTCAAGATCTCTAAAAAATATAACAATTTCTTTGCTTCTGCAAGAACTTTTGTCTTATAATATATGTGATGGTATTAGAAACATAAGTTCTACTGATTTTCTGTTACATACAGTGTCATGTAAAACCAATTTTAATCATATTATTGATGGTTCGCCACCTGAAGTAAAGACTTATTTTAGATCATCTGACTGTTTTGTTTGTGTTAAAGGACAGAATCAATGTTTAGCTTGTGAAAACTTTATTCTGAAATATGAGTTTGAAAAAACAAAATTAAATGTTCCACTTGAGTTTGCTCAGTGCAATATGCAAAATGATATATTGAATAAAAGCATTGTAATTGGTGAAGAATTAAAAAAAGATATTGCAATTGTTATGGAATCAAATGCAGAAAAACTTACACCTTTCATGAAACTTTTTTGGGATGAACAAAAAAAAGCTGCCTGTTGTCATCCAAATGCTGTCAAGTATCATCCTATGATAATAAGATTTTGTTTGTCATTTTGCATGAAATCTGCATCAGCTTATGATGAATTAAGATCATCTAATATTTTAACCCTTCCTAGTTCTAGAACTTTAAGGGATTACAAAAATGCAATTAAACCTTCTGCTGGTTTTAACTCCAAAGTTATAGAAGAACTAATAAAAACATCATCTAAGCTAAAAGATCATCAGAGATTTGTTACATTATCATTTGATGAAATTAAAATTCAATCTGATTTAGTATTTGATAAACATTCTGGTGACCTAATTGGATATGTTGATCTTGGAGATCCAGATCTAAATTATTGTAGTTTTCCTGATTTGAACGAGTTAGCAAAACATGTTTTTGTATATTATGTTCGAGGCTTATCTTCAGATTTGAAATATGCTTTAGCATTGTTTGCAACTAAAGATACAAATGCCAGTCAGATTTTCAAAACATTTTGGGAAGCAGTATTAGTTCTTGAAGTTATTTGTAAATTATCTGTTGTAGCATGTGTTTCTGACGGTGCGTCTGCAAATCGAAAATTTTATAAAATGCATGAATACATGGATAACTGTATTGATGAAGATTTAGTGTATCGCACCGTGAGCATTTATGCACCCGAAAGATATATTTGGTTTTTTGCAGATGCTCCCCATTTGATGAAGACATTAAGGAACTGTATATTTAATTCTGGTAAGCAAATTTTTTGTCATTTATCTGAAATTATTTTTTTAAAGAAATAGTTTTTTATTCATAAAATAAAT